CAGAGGAAATTCCAATTCTCCAAATGACACAAAATTTGGCACACACCAACCTTGAACCAAAACAAGAACAGGCAAAAAAAAAAAAAAAAAAANAAAAAAAAAAAAAAAAAAAAAAAAAAAAAAACCCATAAAATTTGACCCCCAAAACCTTAATTTCAGTTTTGGACTCGTTACCCAGGGCCTGAAAATGGGGGTTCCGGTTAACCATTTGTGCGCTCCACGTTGCAAACGGAAAAGCGAAATTCAATGTGCAAAATGAAACTGGATTCTGGGCCCCTCCACCCCCGGCCCCCTGCGAACTGTGTCGCGGAGGCAGGGGCACGGGCAGCTAGCTGCCTGCTTCGGCGAAACGCCCGCCGCCCTGGCTGCGCCCCCACGCCCAGTGTGGTATCAGCTCTTCTTTTAGGGCGTACTCACACTAGCAGTATGCCAAATGTATCTGACTGCATTTACGGCCACACCTGGATGTGTATGAGGCCACAATTCCGTCCACAATACGTCAAAAGGTCGCAGTGTGAGTAATATGCCCTTAGAAGCAAAAGCTTTGGCCACTCATTTTGCGGTTTTCTGAATTTGAGGGCCTACTGTGAGCGCGTACTCACACTCGCAGTATCGTAAATGTATCTGACCGCATTAAGGGCCGGACCTGTATGCACCTTGCCGCAATTTCGTCCATCGTAAATGTATCTGACCGCATTTAGGGCCGGACCTGTATGCACCTTGCCGCAATTTCGTCCAGAACTAGCTAAAACGCTGCTCATGTGAGTATGGGTCTCGCTCCACTACTATCTGCTGTACACAATTTCGTATAGCGGCCGTATAGCTGTCAGAGCTCTACAAACCGTATAAAACCTATTGTCGCTCCACTTACTATTCGCTATACGAGTCTCCAATTTTGGAGTTCACTACAAAACACTCTCACAGCACTACAAGACATCAATTTGTCGGCGGAGACTCCAGGCTCTCCATACGATTTTGCGATGCTACACCGACCTCCTTCGACCACCCTCCTAGTAACGACTTCTGCAGGCTGTGAACTATACGGGATCGTATGGTGAATACGGAGGGCGCCATCTGACATCCATACGGTGATTTCCGAAGGTGGATTTCGGATAGTAAGTGGAGCAGTGACTTACTATCTGAAATCGTACAGCAGATAGTAGTGGAGCGAGACCCTATATAGGGCCTAGTTGCACTACTGCCATAGGCCGAGTTTGGCGAGTAGGCGCCTGGTTGCACTTACTTGCCAAACTTGGCGAATGCAAAATGTGTCAGACGGCTCGCCACACCGTCGACACAACTCGTGGAGAGTGAATTCAGTTTCCCCGCCTGTGGGCCTCGCCACACCACTCTTGAAACCCGGTTTTCAAGAGTTGGAGCCGTCGCCACACAGCCACTTGAGAGTTGTGGCCCGAAAACTCTTTCGAGAGTTGTCAGAACCTCGTTTCGAGAGTAGCTCTCGAAACTCCTAAACGCCCAGCCTGCAGCACCGCTCTTTTCAAGCGTCCTCCCGAGGGCACTTGAAGGACTCTCCATTTTCGAGAGCTGTCAGGCCGTTATCCTGAGGCCAGTCGGAAAAAAACAAAGCTGTACGACTGTCGTCTTGCATTCTTTGTCCAACACCATCACCCTTTTGAGAGTGCTGTGTGGCGAGGGGCCCGAAACTCTCGAAAACCCAACTCTTGAGAACGTCTGACAGCTCTTGAAAATTTTCCCCGTTTTGAGAGTGGTGTGGCGAGGCCCTGTGCAGGGCGGTTTGTGGAGGGTGGTCTTCGGACCTCGCCACAAAACAGCTTTCTGAAGAGTGCAGGGCTTCACGAGTCGACATAGGGGAGACAAAAATTTTTAACCTTTCCGTAAAAGAAATCTAGTGGGGAGTACGTGCAACCAGGCCTCCAGTTGGACACTATTCTCATATTTTTCACTCTCCACGCATCCCCCACGAAATGTGGCGGATGGCGAGTAGTGCAACTAGGCCCATACTCTCATATTTTTCACTCTCCACGCATCCGCCACGGAATGTGACGGATGGCGAGTAGTGCAACTAGGCCCATACTCTCAGAATCTCAGATAGAAGCCACCCCGTCTTCCGACAGTTTTGTTTCTTGCAATAATATTATAGACACATGGCCTCGCTCCACAACAGAACACTCTGCATGCATTTGGACGCTTTGTTGACGGGACACATTCAAAATCTTGGACACGTCGGAATGCACATGGTCAACCAAATCCCTCCAAATGCGTGTGGAGTGTTGTGTAGTGTAGCTAAGGACAGCGTCTCGTATGTTGCGTAGCATTGGCAAGGAGAGTAGGCCTGTCATACGGATAACAAGAGCGTGGCTTGGCTTCGGGACAAAAATGTGGCGACTGCATCTGGTCATGTTCTAGCGGGAAGTTCATTCTCATTTCGCACATTTAGAGTGGTGTGGCAGTGCCCTTCGAGGTCTATAGTATGCGTCATTCTTCCAGGCGGACTTGCTATGCGATTTTCAGATCGGGGGCTAGGTCCCACTTGCACGAATTAAGCGATACTGACCGTAGATAGCAAAGATCAACGGCCAGAATCTCTTAATCCGTGCAAGTGGGACGTTGCTCCGGATAGCTGTTCAGTGTTCACACATAGTAACATACGGATCAGGCAGTGAGGCAGCGAGGTGTAGAATCTGTAGAGCAGTGTTTCGCGGGCTCGCCGAACATTTTCGAATGTGAGAAATCCATGCCTTCTGGGTGCGAAGGGTCAGTCAATATGTACTACGGTAGGTATCTTTTTTTTTTTTTTTTTTTTTCCCTTTCATTTTTTTGTTTTTTTTTTTTTTTTTTTTAATCTTCTATGACTTCACAGCTCTACTGAGTTTCGGATGCATACCGCTTGTTTTCCTTCTTCTTGCTTTGTGAAGAAAGCCTTATCTTCTCACAGCCTCTTTGATGCCTCCACTCAGTCACTGCAATTTATTTGAGAATGAAGTTAGTGAAGACTCTGAAGAGTGAAGGTGCGTAAAGTCGAGCGTGGAGCACAATGCCGCACATTCCTCCCTGTATGTTGAATTCCAAGGACAACGTATGTGCAATGTGCCATGTATTGATTTTCCTTTCGGATCTCGTTTCTGTCTGTCGCCAATTAAATTTTCCGCAGGCGGCAGGCGGGAGACTTGGAACGCAAGGAGTCACGGGCGACTCGAAAGCTCCCGCGGGCAGCAAGTCTTCTTTTTTTTTTTTTTTTTTTTTTT